AACAGGGTTAAAAAAACACTAGATAAATTCATGGAGGACAGGTCCATCAATTACTATTAGCCAGGAATGGATGACAGAGGCGAGATCACTTGATTCCCTGTTGTGTTCCCTCCCTCTGGGTACCTGGCATTGGCTGCTGTGGACAGACAGGCCCCTGGGCTGGACGGACATTTGGTCCGACCCCGTGTGGCCGTTCTTATCTTCTAAGGTCCCACTTGGACAAGCTCATCAACAGAAAATATCGCAACCGCCAGGGGCATGTGACCTTGAAGGCTTGTCTTAGCCTGGCTCCTTGGCAAGAGCTGGCTGTTTACTACCCAGGGCGCACAGCTCGCAGGGAACAGGAGGGAGAGCAGCGCCCGCCCGCCCGCGGATAGGCCAGTGCAGATCTAATGGCCTCAGCTCTGAGATTTCCACTCCATGCATCGATGAAGCTGTTCTGACCCAGGAAAGCTGATGCCCAATAAATCTGTGTGTCTGCGAGGTACCACAGGACTCCTCTGTCAAGGAACCTAGCGAAGGAGAAGCTGCTGCTCCGCCAGGAAGGCTGAACCCGAAAGCCAAGGCAGGCGCTGGCCTCGCTCTACATCGCTGAGCTGGGCTGTAAAAGGCACAGGACGGATGCCTGCCGGGAACACGTCCGATTGCACAGACTGTCGGGGGCTAGAGACCTGGCCCCTAAGGAGTGACTGGCTGTGTCCCCCAAGAAGGCTGTGCTAAAGTCTCAGCTCCAGCCTCAAGCAGAAGCTTCCTCCAGGTAGAGCCACTCGTGCTCGCCGCAGGTCGGACTCTGCTGCTGTCTCGGGATGCTAACAGGCATGTCATTTATTCGCCATGCAGCTGCTGAATGTCAGTGATGACACATGGGGCTGGCAGTCGGCTCCTCGGGAGCCAGTCCATGCCAGCAGCCAGCTTTTAAGCCAGCTCCCTGCACATGCCAGCTCCTGCCTGCCGCCCCGTGCTGCTGCCGCTGTATCAGAAGTAGCAGCGTAGGGTAGCAGGCAGCTCCCTGGGAGTTGGTGCACACCAGGAGGCGGCTTTTACGCTGGCTCCCAGCATGCACCAGCTCCTGCCTGCAGCCCCACTCCCACGGAACCGGCTGTCACCCCAGGAGCGGAGCAGCAGCCTGTGTAACCGAGACCGTTTCCTTGGATAAACTTTCACACCCCTGCTGCTGTCAGTTACACCGTGTGCTGGGCCAGGAGCAGTCCGCCCCAAGGCACTGGCCACCAAAAGCTGCCTGAACTCCTCGCTCATCACCTGCACGCCGGGCGAGGACAGGTGCAACCAGACTGGCAGAAGAGCACTGAGGGACCCCCCCGGCTGCCCGGTCAGCTGACCCACTAGCATTTACCACTGCCCCGGGGCGGAATTACCGCGGCTGGTTCCTGGTTTGGAGCCGGTCCTTCCCTCCGCTTTGCTCTCACTTCAAACAATGGCGCTCCTCCAGCTCGTCTCGGCCGTGATCGCCCTGGGGCCTGCGTGGTCCAGAGCAAGCAGCACCAGGGTTCCCTTCCTACCCTCGCTGCACCAGGACCTTCCCCCTCTGCTCTCAGGCTCCCTGGCCCATGCAGGGCTAGAAGGATCACTTGCTAACCTGGGTTTGGCTCATGCCAACTCCTTGGCTGCAGAGGCCGAAAGCCATGGGAGGCCTGGAGCAGCCACCCACTGGTTTGGAGCCGGTCCTTCCCTCCGCTTTGCTCTCACTTCAAACAATGGCGCTCCTCCAGCTCGTCTCGGCCGTGATCGCCCTGGGGCCTGCGTGGTCCAGAGCAAGCAGCACCAGGGTTCCCTTCCTACCCTCGCTGCACCAGGACCTTCCCCCTCTGCTCTCAGGCTCCCTGGCCCATGCAGGGCTAGAAGGATCACTTGCTAACCTGGGTTTGGCTCATGCCAACTCCTTGGCTGCAGAGGCCGAAAGCCATGGGAGGCCCTGAACAGCCACCACCCTGCTTACATTGCGGACTCTGAGAGAAGCCGAATTGCTCCATGCAGACGGGATCTGGGACGCCAGCGACGTGGAAATCCTCAGGAACCAGCAGCCACCAGGGAGGCCTGGTTCCTGACAAGTGGGCTCAGGCGCTTGGCCCCGGGGAGCGCGGTTCCTGACATGCCATGTTTTCCTAGCACGTCAGCACAGCGATGCCAGCTGTCGTTCACTGAGTACGGACCACGCAAGCGGAGCAGACTCCTCGTGGGAGAAGTGAGTCACCGGCGGAATGGGGATGACCCCAAACCAGATCCAGGGACATGCGCCCCAGGAAACAGCCCCATGGCATGGCTGCAAAACATCAGAGCATTGGAACCTGCCCCCAGCACAGAGCCCGTCCTGACTCGCAGGGGCCCTCAGTCAAGTTCGGTTTCAGCTCAGATTTACAAGAGCAAACGAAAGCAAGTGTCCCCCATGCGGGCAGCACCACATCAAACCGGACCTTCTCCCTTTAACGTGAATCCCCCTCCAGCCTCCTCTTCCAGAGGGCCAGGCAGGCACAAAGGAGCCTGCGGAAGGGCCCCCAAACTCAGGCCGAGGGAAGGACACCCCCTTCGCTTCAGGGAAAGGAACGTAACCTTTGAGACTTCGGGCAGAACTGCAAATCAACGGCTGGAGCAGGCCTCAGCCCTGGTGCTCAGCCTGAATGCAGCCCAGGGTAGCCGCAGCTGAGAAACAAGGCTCTGTCTGGGTTTTCAATGGGCCTTCACACAGCAAAGCTCAGAGTCCCCAGATGTGATGGGTCCTATCCACGTCCCTGCTAACAGCAGTGCTTGGAGTCAATGTGACTCCAGCCTGGACTCGAAGTGGGGAGAGGTGTGGTGTGAAGCTCTGCAAATCAGAGTCTGGTTCAGCACCCCACCCTGGCAAGGACTACCCTTCCGTGCCTCAGTTTCTCCACCTGCAGCAAAGGGAGAACACGACTCCAGCCCCCATTCCAGGAGAGAGGGTGTAAAAGATGCTTCTGAAGACTCAAAATGATCCTCACTGGTTAGGAGATTCAGCTGAAGCACCTGAAATTCTCCTATGGCTCCGAACGGCTGAGCCTTCGCGCAGGAGGCGGGAAGTGCGCTTCGGAGGAAGGGAAGAAGGATACGTATGATCACCCTTAAAAATATGACACATTTTATTGTCCTGTCCCAAGAGGGAGGAGGGCTGGTTTCCCAGAAACCTCAAAGCGTCTGTAGAACAGAAGAGGCATATAAAAGCTGACTGCTGCCTATTGCTGTTTTCCTACCTGCGGACACGTGCATCCCCACTGCTGAAGGACAGTCAATAGTGAACACAATAAAATGCTCCTATGACTACCAGTCTCCAATGCCAAAAGGGGTGGGGAAAAAAAAAAGGATGAATGACAAAGGTGTGGAATGTTACAGTTTCCATTGTTACAATAATCAGCAATATTTTAATTACATGACAAAGAAACCCTGTACGATACGATGCTAGGTGAATATATATTTATATAATAAATCCATAAAGTAAATAGGAACCCTATGATTTTTTAAAAAGCTTGTTTTTGGTCCTCAGAAAATCCTGCTCCAAGACAACTGTGAACAAGCGTGTCAGGAGATGCCCAGCAGTGAACTGAACAGACGGGGTGTTAGCATGCCTGCTCCTCAGGCCATGCCACGGCCTTGATTTCCTACATGCTTTGAGCGCCCGGCCTCCCTCCTGCCTGTAGACAGGGCCCGGCGCCATTTCCTCCTCCCTCCCCAAAACCCAAGAGGTTCCCAGCCGTGTGGGCACAGTGAGTGAGCAGGCCTGGGCCTGTCATGCATGCAGCAAACAGTGCTTAGCTGCCTTTTCTCCAAAGCCTCTTGCTAAAGGGGTGTAAGGGGGCCTGCCAGCGGCTGAGAAGCAAGGGATGCAGCCCAAGTCTCACACGCTCTTCGGGGCCCGTTAGCACCGGAGTGAAGAGACCTGTGGGAAGGGGAACAGCCCCTTCCCCAGCGTGTGCCACCAGCTCTGTGCCTCAGCCCAATGGGAAACCCTCCCCGGACGGTGCAGGTGAGTCGTGCGACAGTGAAACTGATCTCAGTGCATCTGTGGCAAGTGGGGAGAAATGGGAATGCAAAACCATTTCACTTGGCCTGCCCCCCCCCCCAAACAAACACGCTTAATGGGAATGCAAAACCATTTCTCTTGGCCTGCCCCCCCCCCCAAACAAACACGCTTAAAACCCACCCGACCGTGCTACGAGGGCTCCGGAGTACGTACAGTGCAACAGGGCTGCAGCTCAGCAATCAAGTGGTTTTTTCTTTACACCTTATTGCTTTGTTCTTATTCAAAATGTGCCGGTTCATTAAAAGCCAGCGGGCCCAAGACTTCCTAGGGTGGGGACACAGTTCTCTGCCTCCAGAGCTCAGAGAATTTGGTCTGCGTAAGGAGGATTCAGAACGCTTCCCCACAAAGTCCAAAAAAACAGAGCACTGCACTTTTCAAAGGGAACGTTGCAATTCTGTGAGTAGAAGATTAAACCACAGAGCGCGCAAGGCAATAGCCAGCAAGTACTGCGCTAGGCACCAGAGGCTCCTCTGCAGGCTGGCTCAAGGTGGCAGCGTCAGCCCCAAGGGACAGAATGGACGTCCTGTCAGCCCATCTAGTTTCGCTAAGGAAACAGCCATGATGAGGCAGCAGACGATGCTACCAAGCAGGGAGCTGCTTTTCCTGCACACAGTCTGGGGGAGGGGAGCTGTGCTGATGCCTGCATGAAGGGAGGCTGCATTGCTTCCCCCATCCTGCACTAGGCCTGGACTAGCTAGCTGGGGGTTTGCTAGACCCTGTCGTTGCTACCGAAATGAAGTGACTGGACTTGGGGGCACGAGATCTGTATGGAGGCAGGGTTAGGAAAAGAGGGAATCCCTGAAAAATGCTGCTCCGATGGATTTTGCTGGGGTGACAGACTTGTTCGGGTTTCTGCTACACAGTGGCATAAATTACAGAGGGCAAAGAGGCAGCAAAGGGAAAGGTTCAATTTCAAACAGACTAGTCAACAGATTATTTTTTAAGCTCAGTTGAAAAAATAGAAGGGGCTATATTTAACAAAAATAGCCATCTGAACCAGAGCCGCCGCGTGCTTGGCAGACTCTCCCTTCTTCCCCTTGCCAGGAAATCCCAAAGCGACTAATTGTGAGAAAAACATGTGAAGCCCGCCCTCCCCCACGTTTAACAGAGCGAAGTGAAGAGAATCATTGCATAGGTACATGGTTCATCAATATGCACTAACCACCGACTGGAATGCAGGCTAACTCCCAGGATCGCCCAGTGCGCATGTGGCTTCCCTCCTCCGGCGGGCGATCCTGGCGCCGAGGGACAGTTTGTGCGGGAATGCAGAGCAGAGCTTCTGGCCTTGCTCCTGCCGCCGCCGCCAGCTCACAGGTCACTCTCGCCGTACAGGGCCGTGGAAAAGGACTTGTAGTCCAGGGCTCCGGGCACGGCGTCGGGCCCCTGGTACGGTGCCATGCGAGCGATGCAGTACTCCGCTTGGTCCGGGGGCAGCTCTCGCCTCAGCTCCTCTGCTGTGATGTAGTTCTGGGGGGAAGGAGAGCGCCAGTCAGTGGCTAAGTGACACACTCTCCACAGACCGTGCCCGGACACATGGAGTGCGCTGGGTGGGGATGGGGCACAGCAGATGCAGGATGTGGGAACTGCCAGTGGGCTGTCTGAGCATGCCAGCCTGGCCCCGGGCCTGAGGCCTTAAGCTACGCTTGCGGATGGGGACCTCATTCCTAGGTTCAGTTTTGCTACTGAGGAGATGGCTTGGAAGCTACCAGCTGCCTTCCCCGTCCCCAGCCCAGCTCCAGCGCCAGCCTCGAGGCAGCAGCAGGAAGGCCATGGCTGGCCACACACCCCCAGCTCACCTTGTCTCCGGCCAGGACCTTGAAGGAGGCGATAACCTGGTCGGCCGTGTCAGTGTCCGTGGTCTCTCGGGACATGAAGTCGATGAAGGCCTGGAAGGTCACAATCCCGCTGTTGTTGGGATCCACAACGCTCATTATCCGGTTGAACTCGGCATCTCCCTACAGGGGGAGGAGAAGCTTTGATGGACTCAGAGACCAGCTCGGGCAGAGCTGCAGGTATGGGGCTTGAAAGGGTGACACCGAACACACCAGGTGGGGCAAAACCAGCTGGCCTCCCATCGGCACCCTCAGCTCCTGGCCAGCAAGGGGACCACACAGCTTGCTCCGGCCATGCCGCTCCTTCGTACAGAGCAAGGCCACAGCGATTCTCTGCGCCATGCAAGAGTCCGCCAGCTTGCAGAGCCGGAGCCCTGGTGCAGGCCATGGGCTGTGCCTTGCCCCCGTCCTGACCGCCATGTGCCACATAGCTGGCCGGGACAAGCCCCTGCTGACAGGAACAGATCTTAGGCCAGGAGTGGCTACCAGCGAGCCAGTCCCACCTTGGCAGAGGGGCTCCACTGGGGCTTGGCCAGGGCTGCTGCAGAGCACATGCCGGAGGGGAGCAGTCTGATGCAGGCAGGAGCATCGGCCCCCCAGCAGAGCCCCTCAAACCCAGCTAGGCAAGAGGGCAGTAAGTTGTCGCAGGCTCTCGGGCCGATTCCCTCAGCAAAGCCACTCAGCTTATGGAGGGTCTGCCCAACTTGTGGCTGCTGCCAGCTCCACCCAGGAAACGTAGCTCTTGCAAGGAAGCGCTGAGCTGTGGCAAGGCAGCACGGGGCTCCAGATGGGCTCACGGCCAAGGAGGGCAGGGCCTCTGGCCACGCCACCACCTGGCCACAGACAGCGCCCCCAGACGCGAGGCTGTCCCGGCTGGCGCGCTCCGGCAGAGCACGACTTGAGGGAAAGAAAGGAACGAACGAGCGGAGAGCGTACCAGGCTGTATCCTGTGGAGATAAGGAGAGCTCGGAAGTCATCTGTGTCCATGCTTCCTGTGTGCTTCTATTTGGAGGGCATGGCAGGGGAGGAGGGGGCCAGCCCCGAGAGGGGCAGATGGACGGGGCATGCAAAGACACGACAACAGGGGGACAGGGAGGGAAAGGGCCCCACGGAAGGAGAGAGGCAGAGTTTAGTTACGAAGGCATCGTGGAAATGGCCGCAGCGTGGCCAGGCGATGGAGGAGAGGGGTTGAACGTCAGAATCGCACACACACAAATGGTCGGAGGAGCGACGAAGGGGGTGAAGGAAGAGAGAAAGGAGACCATGTTAATTGCATTAGCAGCGGCAGGCTGTGCAGTAGATGCTCGGTACCTGTCTGTCATTTTCCACATCGTATCCCAAGCTGATGAGGCAGGCTTTGAACTCCTCGGGTCCCAGGGTCCCACCGTGGTCCTGCCGTCGGGGAACCACACAACATGCAGGATGAAGGGGTCAGAGCGTGGCGAGGCGCCGCACCAGGATTCACGGAGACGATGGCATGCACATCGGGGAGGGGGAGGAACGACATGCACATGGGGAGCAGGGAGAAGGGAAAAATACGCCATTAGTGGCACTGAAATCAACTCGCTGCCCCAGGAGGGAAGGGCTGACTGAGCCTGAGCTTAGCTGTCACTTATAACCCCAGCTGCAGCCACATGCCTACAGCTTGCTCACGCCATGGAGGAAGTTCAGCCCCCAAAACCATGGGTCAAGTGCTCGAGGAGCTCCTAGCCAGGCAGCTCGACCCCCTGGCTCCACTGCGTGCGCCGGCCTCTGTGTGGGGACACCCACTCGCCGCGGCGCTTGGGAGAATGGTTCCGACACGCTCCTGAAACCACTTCCCGACAGCGGCCTGTGGCGCTTTGGCCACACTGACCCTAGCTCGCTAGTTTAATGGGAACTGGCGCCCTCCTAGCCAGCCAGGCTTGCAGGGAGGAAGCTCAAAGCCATTTTCGTTGGGAACAAGCGTCCTTCACGCGTGCCTGGGTGCCTCCCGAAACACGGACAGCCTGGCTGGGCCAGCAGGGCACAACTAACGCTGGCACAGGGACTGTTCAGAGGATGGAGGGAATGCTAGGTGGGACACTGCTCTGCCTGGCCTCCCTGGCGAGCAAGGGGCACCCGCTGCTGGACAGCTGCCCATGGCTCCACCTCTCCTCCCTCTGCTAAAAAGCACTTCATTCTTTGCAAGGGGTTTAGCAAATGCCCCCCAGCCACCCTGTCTACCTGCTGAAGTTCTAGCAGACGGACAGAGTGGCTAAGGCCTGGGACAAGTGGAGAAAGGCGCTCCAGGCTGGCACGTTAAAGAGCAGACACCAAGCCCAGCATTGGCACCCTAGGTGCCCGTGGCCCCACGACCAGCCGGGAGCCACGCGTGCGGGCCCCGTGGTTACCTTGTCAAAGTGGTTAAAGGAAGCGCGGAATTCCTGCATCTGCTCCTGGCTGATTCCCTTGGCATCGCGGGTCAGGATCTGGTTCTCCACTTCGTTGATGGTGCGGGCGATGGTGGTGAGGAGCTGCTCCCAGCCAACGCGAATATGCTACAGCAGCCGGAGAGAGGCTGTTACCGGGGCGTCGGGCGCTAGGAGCACTTCAGAGACGCTGGGAGCCTCTTCACATGGGCACCAGCCACACAGCTCTAGAGGGCTTATGGTCACCCAGTGCCCATTCCGACGGGCACGGACGGAAACCAATGGCACCCTGGCTCCAGAGCCCACAGAAAGCTACGTTCTCTAGCCACGAGCCCCCGGGGTGCCAGCTTCATGCAGAGCCTCTGCATTTGCACGGAGCCTTTCACTTACACCGACGTGCAACAGATCACACAGAAGGGATGGAGAATACTGAACCAATGCTTAACTGCGGGCAGAAGGCAGCGACCCAAGGGGAGGTCCTTAATGACCGAAGCCCGCTGCGGCTCTGGTGCAGCTGAGCCCCGAGCCTACCTCCATGGTGTAGTTGGTGTGCTTGTTATCGAAGATCAGCGCCTCCTGGATCAGCTGGTGCTGCTGCTCCAGCACGTCGCTGTTGGGCTTGTAGTCCACAATGCTCTGCTCGTACTGCTTGAGGTGGTTCAGCTGGTCCTCCAGCGTGCCGTTCATCTCAATGGAGATGCGCCCTATTTCCTGGGGGGGAAGGGGGCACAGCAGCCAGCCTGAGAGTTTCCATAAAGGGACACTTGAGCCTGCTCATCACCAGTCTCCTGCCAGCTCATTCTGCTGGGCTCTTTCCTGCTCCCGCACCCGCAGTACCAGGCTGGCAGGCCTAGTTCTGCCCTACGGGGCACTGTGCAGCTGCCAGGGAATCGGGGGGCAATCTAGTGGGTGGAGCAGGGAGAAAAGCCCGTTCTCTTGTAGCAGGAACAGAAATGGGTTTGCCAGGGAGCCAGTATGAGGAAGGTGCCAGTCGCCCCCCCTTTTCAGAGCAGCGCGCTGCACGGCTGGGAAAGGCCAGGCCAGGCAGGGCTAGGCCTGGGCTATCTGGCTAAGTGGGGCAGTAACCCTGCGGGACCGCTCTCCGGTTTGCTCAGGGTGAGAGCGGCTCAAGGCAGCTGTCTGGACACCCGGTGGTGCTTTAACTCCGGCGCTGAGAGGGTCAGCTGGGTCACTCCAGTTCCCAGCGAGTCCTCCTGGGAATCGCTTAGCACGCGCAGACCGACCCAGACGCCCCCAGAGGCAGCGATTGCAGACTGAGCTCTTACCTCCATTTTGGTCTGTATCCAGGGCCCAACGATGTTGGCCTGGCTGGCAAACTGCCGCCGCAAGTGCTCATTGGACTGCTGCTTGCTCTGCTCATCCAGCAGGGCGTGGTCCCGCTTGGGCACCAGCTGCTGCACCTGTGAGGAACAAGGAGCCCATGGAACCGAGGCCTCTCTGCCCTGCTCAGGGCTGGTGAAGCGGCAGGTGCCCAGGGATGGGCCCGTGGATCCCGGAGCAGACTGTCAGCAGAGGAAGTTCGGCTATAACAGCCACTGAGGCCAGGCAGCGTGATGCCACTCACAGGGCAAAGGCCTGCTGCCCCCTGCTCTCCGCAATGCACCCTCCTTCCTGGCTGTGCAATGCACAAAGCAGGTCAGTTACCTGCCCTGAGCCAGAGCCAGCAGAGCGAGTGCCCCCCGCGCTGTGCTCCTCATGCCGCCTGGAAATGCAAATCCACAGGGACCCACTGCTGCATCCAAGCCTGCCCCCCGCTGAGCTGGGAACACGCAGC